TGGTGGGCTCTCTTCCCACCCTGGGGAGCAGGCACGTAGTGTGCATGACCTTGACCGGAGAAACTTCAGGAGCTTTGCCTCAGAAAGCTTTTGGCAGGCTCTCTCCCCGCCCTGGGGAGCAGGCACGTACTGCGCATGACCTTGACCGGAGAAACTTCAAGAGCTTTGCCTCAGAAAGCTTTTGGCGGGCTCTCTTCCCGCCCTGGGGAGCAGGCACGTAGTGCGCATGACCTTGACCGGAGAAACTTCAAGAGTTTTGCCTCAGAAAGCTTTTGGCGGGCTTTCTTCCCGCCCTGGGGAGCAGGCACGTAGTGCGCATGACCTTGACCGGAGAAACTTCAAGAGCTTTGCCTCAGAAAGCTTTTGGCGGGCTCTCTTCCCGCTCTGGGGAGCAGGCACGTACTAAGCATGCCTGGAGCGTGGGAGAGAGCCGCCTCCCACTCAGTTCCTTCGACCGCTACCGGTAAGTCCCATCAAGCCAAAGAAAGGTGAACAGGAGATGCCAGCAGTGGGGAAGGCTGGGTGGGATTGTGGTACTGCACAGATGACCACTCGAAGATCATCAGTTACAGGTAAGCAACCTGTTTATCTTCGTCGTGATGATGCTGGTCTCCTGTTCTAAAGTAGCTGAAGGAGAAGGCTAAGGATGGAACAACTGGATGGAGCCTGACATCCCCCTAACTAAGTTACTTGGGACAAAACTAGCCAATCCAGGTGCTGACTAGAGCTACACGAGACATTCAGTCTCAGAATCAGATCTGGTGGTAGAGTGGCTAGAGGGTCAAACCAGGATTTGGGAGACTCAGGCTCCAATTCCTGCTCTCCTATGGCAACTTGCTGGGTGACTTTTGGCAGCTCATACACTCTCAGCCTAACCTACCTCACAGGGTTGTTGGGAGGATAAAACAGAGAAGGGAACAATTTAAGCCACTTTGGGTCCTGATTGGGGGGGATAGGTGGGGTCATTAGCTCTTCATGCTATGAGGCATTTCCCATGGGAATTTTCTTACATCCTCCTTAATAGGAAAGGCAACACAGCAAGTATTTCAAATACTGTAATAGTCTTGTGCTCCAATCCCCATGTGTTTGGAAGTATGACTAGTTTCAAGGGGGCTTTAGCTGAGAGAAAATTTACTCAGAATCGTAATATGAAAAAACAAACAAGAAACTTTTAAATTTTGGGGCACGCTGCCTTCCAGGAGCAACGTCAGAAAAGATCAAGTTATTTCCTCCACCACAGTTCCCCTCCCCACGATTCTATCCCCTGAATTAATAGATTACAGAAACACACTGAAGTCACTCACCCTGCCTGGACATGCAGTAGATAATTTATGAAGAGACTGTGCAAGGTGGATTTTAGGGTTGTTCACCATTTGGCCCACTGGATCGTGTTCTTTTTTCCCAGCAAAGGCGAGTTGGGAGAACGCAGTCTGGTATCCGGGTGTGTCTTCTATGTCAATGAAGTGTTCTTCATCTGGAAGGGTGTCATCTTCGGGCAACTCAAAGAGACCAATGAGGGCCTGAAGCAGAGGTGTCCTAAACGGGAGACATATTGTCAGTTCTAGTGGACTGTGTTAAGAGCAGCTCACCTGAGCGAGAGCAAAAGTGACATTAAGAGTAAGTTTAAGCAGAGGAAGACTTAGAAAATTCTGTCTGCATTACGGTTGGCTTTCTGAGGGAGCCAAAGAGTATTGTACTCCAGTTGCCACAATAATCTGAAAGATGAACTTTATCAAAGGGACACATACCAGAGTTTTGTGTACTCCGTGTCCATCATAGGAGGACATTCAGTGAGTATTTTTGTGATGCCAACTGCACAGATTTTCTTTTCTACTTGCCCAGACACTTTCTGTATTTCTGGTATGATGATCTTCTCCAAAACCATTCCAAACATCCTGTTAAGTGTCAAAAGAAACCATTTTAAATTTTAGCCATAGGAGAGAGATCAAAGACACTCCTTAGGTGATGCATTAGCAACATTTAGTGATTACACAAGTTATGGTCTGCAATATCATTGACTCAGACATCTGAAAAGGGAAGAGACCTGTAGAGCATTGTGAAGAGTTCAGCATTCTTGTAGAGAAAGTCTCTACAAACCTGACACTAACTGAACAGACATCTACAACTCAGTACCCTCAGTTTGATCCTGCATCAAGATTACTGGGTCCTTCCCACCACCCACCTCAGAATACTAATACTGGGACTACTGTTGCTGCCCTCTCAAATCTCCCCTGTTCCCTGCTGAATACAACAGTTTTTATGGTGAACAGAAAAACAGGGTAAAGCTTAAAACTGGGTCAAGTAAACACCCATGACCCATCTGACCTCTGGCTAAGCTTCCACATGAGGCTTCTAAGTAGTTAAAAGCAACACTGCTCCTTTTAGTTCCTGCAACACTTGTTCATACTAGCCAAGCTATAAAAAACATGGGGAAACATTGCTTAATTGTGGACAGTCACTACTAAAGAAATATTGCACCTGAAGAATGGGCAAAGGAATTTGTTTGTAGCACAGTCTTTTCCCCAATATTTATCGGAAATATTGTTGCTTACAAATATCTAATAAAACCCATTCCCAGCATGGTTGTGTTTCAGCTTGGCCAAAAGGAAATGGACCGGGGTTACACAGATGCTGTAGGGGAAAGACTGTGTTCACTAGACTCAGCTGTCAGCTCCACCCGGCTTGTCTCAGAAGATGGGGCAAGCACAGGATGACGAGATTTGCCCCCCACTCCAATGGACCTCTGGCTGGAGAACAGAGCGGCCCCTGAGAATACAGATATTAGCCATTCCCTGAATGAAAGTAAATGATATTTTTAAAAAGGTACTAACTTTGGCTGTATACTGTCAAATATTTCTTGAAGTGCGATTGCTCCGTATCTTACACAGTACAAGTTGATAAAGACTAAGAAACCTGTTGAGAGAACAGTCAATTGAAAAAAGCTGTAAATGACACTCCTAGAAGAATATGAGAATGTGGTGTTTTTGTTCTCCTGACCCGCACCCATTCTCTTGCAAAGTGCTGTCATCAAGAGCGACTGAATGCCACAAACCTTCCCTGGCCCATTGTAACAACTAATCCAACACAAAGCCCAAGCTTTCCAGTACCACCCTTCCCTTTGCTTTTCAAATCCTGCTGTTCCAATTCACAGACCCTTCACCTTTGGGGATGGGGGGGGAATCAATGAACCTTTTTAATGGTTCAGGTGGATGTTCTGATACTAAGTATATATATATTTGATGTAAGCCCTACTGAGAATAACTATTTCCTGGCAAATGTGTTTGTAGGATTGTGTCGTAATGCTTTCTAGATCACCAGCTGTGCAGTCCTATTCAGAGTTATTTCAGTCTAAAAGCCCACTGATTTCAATGGGTTTAGGACTTGAGTTGTGCTCCAATATCTTACACGCACGATTCTTCCTTACCGGAAATCTACTCAGTCTAACAGTCTCCCCCAAATTATACAGCAACTGATGCAGAGCTTACTTTTGATAAATTTTGTTGTTTTGGAATTCTGAAGTCTTTGGAATAGCAGAATGAAAATTTGCTTCCTGTACTGATCAATGGACTCACTGGAGATATAAAAGGAACACACAGAGATTTGTTATTCAGTCTAGTACACCACTGCACTGAGTATATCTACCCCCCGTTTTGTATTTGGAACATGCATCATCAGAAAGGCTACTTAGTAACAACAGAAATCTATGAATTTAGTACTCACGGAGGCATATGTTCTATAATACTGTTGAGAAGATAGAATCCTTGGTGGTCATTAAGCTTAGAGGCAATAAGTTTCTGGAACACCCCTAGCAGTCCAGGCTGTAGGTTTTAAGACAAAAACATTAAGTTTTGGTTATTATCTGGTTAAAAAGAACTATCAGCCACAAAAATCACTCCAATGGAAGATGTCTCCTGCTAACATCTATTACAGTTTACAAAAAAAAATCAGAATATGTTATCAAAGGCTTTCATGGCTGGAGTTCATTAGCTGTTGTAGATTTTCCGGGTTGTATGGCTGTGGTCCTGGCATTGTAGGACCTGACGTTTCACCAGAGTGCTCCATCTTTCTGTGTTATACCTCTGAGGATGCCAGTCACAGCTACTGGCGAAACGTCAGGTCCTACAATGCCAAGACCATGGCCATACAACCCAGAAAATCTACAACAGCTAAAAGATCAGAATGTCTTGGAATCCACTATACTCAGCTCCTGCACCCTAACTGGAACACTGCAGCTAGTATTCACCAAGTCAAACTTGTGGTTTTCAATTCAGACTAGAAGGACCAACACTCTGGCTAATGATTAAGAAGAAAGAGATGGAAGATGTGCATAACAGGAGAGGAGGGAATATTCAAGCCTGTGGCTGAGCCAGTCAGTAAAGAAATTTGTGTAAAAGCATTTGAAGAGCATTTGCTCAAAATGTTTCTGGTTTGCTACAATAAATTACACAGAATCTGTAGATTCTGCTTTGGGGACTGCCATCTGCACTTTGGCAGCTACGTACAAACCTAGCTTAATAAAAACTTGAATTACTAATGTGGTCTTTGTCTGGCCATCCAGTAAAATATATGAGGTGGTCTGCCGATGTTTTATTTTCTTTTAAAAAGTAAAACACACTATGTCTAGAATTCTGGCGTTGCAATCAACTTATACGTACTATTTTGTCAGCTGCGGCACTTGCTATCGTATTGGCACCTCTTTCCAAGTAGGCCTGAAGGAGTCTCACCAGAGGGGGAATGTTTCCTGACCTCTCCCACAAGACTGGCTGAAGCAGATGTGGGAACAAGGCCATGTAGGATGACGGGATATCATTTTTATGCATCTCCAGCAGTAGAGACATCACTTGAAACACATACGGAATGAACTCTGTCAAAAAGGGGAAAGAAAGTTTATCTTATGTACTAGTAAGGGTAAAGTGCTCACAACAGAAAGATTTATCTAGAGCACTTATTTACAATATATTCCTGGAGAGGAGCTGTGGCTCAGGGACAGGATTTTCCATTTGCAAAGCATGACCAGCACTCTCGGGCATCTCCAGTTAACAGGATCTGAGATAACAGGGGTTGGGAATGACTTTTATCTGCCTGAGTTCCAGGAAAGCAGGAAATGTTGAGCTTGACAGGCCAATGGCTTGACATGTTACACGACAGCTTCATACATTAAACATATTTTAAAGAACACATCTCCATTAAAAAGCCTTGTAAAGGATAAGGAATAACAAACCCCCAAACAAAACAAACCACCACAACTCATTCCTTTTACTGGACTAAGCTTGTGCAAAGCTTACAAGGTGATACTTGATAGATAAATAAATAAATAAATGGGATAAGTATGAAGCACTTATCAATCTCTATTTAGAGTGAAGCTTCCATCTGAAGGTGCTGTTCTGTCAGAAAAGTGGCAGCTTCTCTGATGGAATGGCTTTATCATCTGCGAGGAGGGAGTGTTTTACCACTTCCCCCTGCTGCTGCTCCCCCACACTGTTCCTTTGGTGCCCACTGATCCCCAGGAGCACAGTCCTGGGAATCACAGAAGACTGCAGTGAGGAAAAGTGATTGGGGGGGGGGGGGGAG